GGGGGGGGGTGGTGGTGCAAAATTCTGCCTCGTCACAATATATTCCCCAATATTTACCTGAACTATATTCTCCTTAGTTAAAATAGAACTTTTTTCCATTCAGATCTTCCCAGATGATTCAGAAAGATTTATATAACTGAAGAGCTAGTCCTGAGAGGCGTTTGAAATCCTGCACAAAAGTGTTTAAATGATCAAAATCACCACATTTGCATTATGGTGTTGTCCCCACATAAGAAGTAGTAACAATTCCCATTCCATTACTCGTGATCAGTAAAGTTACATCAATGAAGATGGTGACAAGAAACATTACAAGATAAGAATGCCTGAAGCAATAAAATGTTCCCTATGGAGTCTTGATGCCGATGAACAATATTAATCGTTATTTGTATCACATGCCGACAAAAAATGAAAATTCCCATCAATTTATTCATGACTATTATATACAAGCTAACACCATAAATTTGAGACTAGATATGATCCCTGTTACATATACTTATTCAACCGTTAATGCGTATATACAGGGTGTCCCAGAAGTACGTGCCAATAGTTAACCGGCATGTACAGGGGGTGAGTCTGACCAAAAAAGTCCTTTACCACGAAAATTCCCAGTGGCGCGACTGTTTTTGCAGTTATCCTTTAAACAATTGGGTTTTTGGGATTTTTCCATTGATTATTATTTGTTGCAAATTGAATTTGCAACAAAATAATCCTATGGAAAAATCACCTAAGTCCCATTGTTTATTTAATATCAGCAACAAACAGTTTGATCCTTTTTAAATGTTATAAAAAAAACGATGGGCCGTACGGCATTTTTCCATCAGATGTTTTTTGTTGCAAATTCGACTTGCGACAAAAAATAATCAATGGAAAAATCCTGTTTTTTTTAAAAAGGATGCTTTTTCAGGGAACTCAGCGATCGTTTTTTTTTCTTCCATCTCTTTTTACACCAATGTTTCTCTGTACTTTTTTCAACATCATTCGATCGCGCCCGCGAGTCTTTTGTTTAACGGATTTCCACGATATCCGTCGTCGACGTAGTCATTCGTTGTGTGACCGTGAAGTTATCAACATTGTGACAATGGTGCGTTTTACTCCAACGGAATACGCGGATATGGTGGCCGTTTATGATTTAGCGGGTGGAAATGGTGCGGAAACCTTCCGGATTTATGCGGAGCAGTTTCCCAACCGAGTGGTTCCCGATCCGCGAAGTTTTCGAAATGCTTTTCCACGGCTGAGGGAGGGTAACGTCCTCCCAAGGCACGGCGAAGGGCGTCCAAGACGTGCGGATGGCGTACATGTGGAAGAGGCGATTCTCCAGAGAGTCGAGGAGTCTCCGGAGGTGTCCGTCCGGGGCATCGCGTCATCTGTCGGCGCTTCCACTTCGACAGTGCACCGGGTGATGAGGCTCGAGGGTTTACACCCCTGGAAACTTACCCCGGTGCAGGAGCTTATGCCAGAAGATCTGCCGAAGCGAGTGAACTTCTGCCAATGGCTCCTTGACAAAAGTCGCGATCAAGAATTCATGGGCAACGTATGCTGGACAGACGAGAAGCTTTTCTTAAGAAAGGGGATTATCAACCAGCACAATGAGCATCATTAGGCTTTTGAAAATTCCCGTCTTACGAAAGAAACGAATTTCCAGTTTCGTTGGGACACCATGAATATCTGGGGAGGAATCATTGGTGACGAAGTTCACATTCACCACCTTCCAGGACGTCTCGACGTAAGTATTCTTTATTCAGTTACAATAAGGATTTTTTTTTATAACTAAATTTTATTTGTTTATGTTTCAGGGTGGCAATTATCTGGGATTTCTCCGAGATCGCCTAATAACTGTTGTCGTGGACGGTCCTGCCGACAATGCTGTGTGGTTCCAGCACGACGGAGCTCCAGCCCATACGTCTGTGGCCGTGGTCGACCAATTGGACGAGTGGTTCCCAGATCGCTGGATTGGGAACAGGAGCGACCGGGACAGGGGTGGACGTCGGTAACCACCACTTGCGTGGCCTCCGCGTTCTCCAGATCTCTCTCCGCTAGATTTTTACTTGTGGGGGACTCTGGAGGCCCGGATATACGCGCACAGTTATACGCGTACAGTTGCAGCCATCACCCCTGATGAGCAGGAAGGCATGAGGAGGAATCTCCTCAAGAGGGCCAGGCTCTGCCTTCATGCAGGTGGAGGACACATAGCAAACCTGCTGTAGGAAATGCCTGCCTCTGTCACACCTTCTCCGGATGAACGAACTTCAATCGGCCCTTTTCAGGGCCACCAATTCATTTTTAACGTGGATCCTTGTTCCTTATCCCTGCCTTACAGTCGTTCGGAATTTTCTCCGAAAATTACACGGTCTTCATCAATTATCTAATAAACAATGGGCTTTTGGAGATTTTTCCATTGATTATTTTTTGTCGCAAATCGAATGAGCAACAAAAAACATCTGTTTGTTGAGGTAACAGTTGAGTAGGGTGGATTGGAAGAAGGTCAGGGAAATGCGGTGACTGTGTAAAAAATGTATTAACTGGCGAAATTATCACACACAACGATTATCAATTTATTAAAACGCGTGGTCAATTCAATGCGGTTTTTTACAATAATTTACACGTTGAGTTTAGTTGATGTACAAATTAAAGTTTAATTAATGGTTGAATATGTTGAGAAATAAGTTGAGTTAGTTGAATTGATAGTTGATTTAATAGTTGATTTTAAGGTGAGATTTAGATTAGATGTTAGCACGTTCACTGCTTGATTGAACAGAATGTTGAGGGGGGTGATGGTGATTTGGCTGGTTTGGAGATGACCGTTGACCGACGGGTCACGATCATTTCCGGGTTTTCCCGATTGATCTGGTGAAAAGCCACCCATATTTTCCTCCATTTTAAACATCCCAGGGGCAATTCACCATCGGATTGGTGGTGAATTTTTCCTGTTGATTTACTGATGATTTTCTTCTCCGTTGATTTCTGGTGGGTCTGTGGTTAACAGACAGAGCTTGGTGATCGGGCGGTCCCAGGTCCTGATTCTCGTTTCGTACCTCTCTGGATTGGGGGTACCGTCTGCATGCCTGGAGACCTCAGAGTAGGTAGTCTTTACTGTTGCTACTCTGGTGAGCCCATCGGCTCCTGGGTGCACGGCTGTAACCCGTGCTAGTGGCCACCTTGCTGGTGGGAAGTTCTCGTTGACTACTAATACCATGTCTCCAATTTTGATGTTTTCTTGTCGTTGATTGCACTTGTAGGTTGCTAGGTATCGTCGGAGACACTCCTTGAACCATCTTGACCAGAATTGTTGAATTTTCTGGGTGATTAGATTCCATTTATGCATTTTTGATGTGTTGTCATCCGGTTGTGCACTGAGGCTGGTTGGGCATTTGTTGGTCCCCACTTGAGTATGGGCATTGGACCGGCATAATCCACCCCTGTGTGGAGAAATGCTCTCGATGGTGATACTCTGGCTGCGGGAAGTTGCCCCATCAGCTGTTGAGCTCGTTGAGCACGATATCTGGTACAGATGACGCAGTGAAGGATGTGCGATCGAACTGTACCTCTACCGCCGATTATCCAGTATTGTTGGCGGGTGATTGCCAGTGTCAGTTGAGTACCTCCGTGGAGGGTTCGTCGGTGAGCTTCGTTGATGACCAGTGTGGTGAGATGTGAATGACGAGGCAGGATGATTGGATGAATCTCGTCATGGTCCAGTTGAGCGTTTCTGAGCCGTCCTCCAATTCTCATAATTCCTAGTTCGTCTAGGATTGGAGTCAGCTTTGATAGTGGATTTCTTTTCGGCAGTTGATGTTCTCTCCTGAGGATTCTGATAGCTGAAGCAAAGAATTGATTTTGGATTAATTTTACCCAGAACAGTCGAGCCTTGTTGAGTTCCTCTGGTGTGATTACTGGTGTCTGAGGTGTAGGTTGCCTTCTGAACCTGGTGATTGCTCTGTTGACGGTGGCTGTCACTTGCAGCGCCTTTGATAGTGTTGAATATCTCTCTAGCACCTCTGCTAGAGCGTTGATGTTGATCTCAGCTGCGCCTGGATGAGCTGGTGTTGGTTTCTCCTCGAGTGAGACTTCTGAAGGGATGTTGATTGTAGATTGTGGCCACTGGTCTGGCTCTAGATTAAGCCAGTCAGGTCCTGACCACCAGAGTGGATGTTCGATGAGTTGATCTGTTGAAATTCCCCTTGAGGCGCAATCTGCTGGATTGTCTTTTCCACTGACATGTCTCCAGGTTGCTTCTGGCAATGTCTCTTGGATTTCTGCTACTCTGTTATGGACAAACTCCTTCCAGCGTGAAGGATGACTGGTGATCCACGCCAGAGCAACAGATGAATCAGACCAGAGGTGAGTTTCCACGTTGTTGAGTTCGAGCATCTGGTGAGTT